TTTTTAAAAATTTTCTTAAAATTCATATGTTTGTGAATTAATTAAATCATTTTACTATTAATAAAAATCATAAAATTTCTTAATAATTATAAAATTTATAATAATTAAAGTTATTCTTTATAATATATTTTATAATATTTTATTATAATTAATATTATTAAAGTAAAATATTAATAAGATGATCAAAAATTAATGATAAAATTTTTTAATTTATAATTTTTTTAAAAATTACAAATTTTTAGCTTATAAGTAATCTTAAATTTTTTATTATATAATTAAAAAATAAAATTTACTATAATTTTATATATATTTATAAAATTAATTTAAAAAAAATATTTTTAAAATTTTAATTTTTCATAAAAGTACTTCAGAAGAGAATTTATAGTAAATAAGCTGGCAATTTTGCTTGCAAACTTTTACAGTTTAAGGGATAATAATAAAAATTATATAATAATTAATTTAGTTAAAGTAAAGATAATAATATTATTAATAGTTAATAATAAAATTATAAAATTTTAATTTATAATAACTTTAAATTTTTTATTATATAATTATAAAAAAAAAATTTAATTATAACAAATGTTATATATAAAAATAGCTTTTTTTTTTTTAATTTATAATAAGTAAATACTAAATTTTATTGATTTTTCAGTAAATTATTATATAAAATTAATTTAAAAATTTTTAATTATTAAAAGAAAAATTTATATACAATTTATTTACAAATTTTTATAATTAAAGAAGTGTTTTAAAGTTTTAAATAAAAAAAAAAATAATTTATAAATTAATATAATTAATAAAATATTATTTATTATATAAATATTAATTTAAATTTAATTAAACTTTAAATTTATATAGTGTTAATTTAAAAAATATTACTTAAATTATTAAAAGTAATTTATTTTAATTAAAGTCTTATAAATTATATATTAAAAATATTAAATAAAAAATAAATTTGTAAATTAAATATTATTATAAAAATAATTATATATTATATTAATATAATTTTATAATAAATAATTTTAATTCAAAAATAACTTTATATTTAAAAATTTTTATAAATATAATTAAGATTACTTGTTTAAACTCATTTAGAATTTGGTAAAATATCTAAATTTTAATTATTCATAAGATTTTAATATAATTTTACTTATCATTTAGACAACTTATATATTTTCTAAATAATTTTAAATATAAACTTATATAAAACTTATATACTTATTCAAATTTATTTAAACTTATATAAATTTATATAAATTTATAATTATAAAATTTATGTAATTATATATAAAATCTATAGATTTATGTAATCTTATAATTTATATCTTTAATATTACTTATATAAATTTAGCTTTAAAATTATTAATAGAAAATAAGTTTTTTTTTTTTATTAAATTAATTAAAATATATAAAAATAATTATAAAAAATTATATTTAAATTTAATAAATTTTATTATCAATATATTTTTAATTTTATAATATAGGAGGCAATCAGTAGAAAAGGGGAAAATCTACTTTTTAGTCAAAATTTTTTTTATTAGTTCATGCTGCTAATCATGATCCTATAAATAAAATTAGCTTAATAATTAAAATTACTCAAAATTTGTAGATTTTTTTCTTTTCTATTGCTTTCTATATATTAAAAAATTAGTATAAAATAATTCTTTTTAATTATTAAAAATATTAATACTTATTAAAATTAATTTTATTATTCTAAATTGTAAAATATTTAAATTTATATTTAATTCTATGATTTGATAAAATATTTCTCATTATTTTATACCTTTATTTTTTTATTTTTAATATTTTAAAACTTAAAATTTTTTAATATATGATATTTTATTTATTATATTTTATTTATAATTAAAATTATTATTAAAAAAAAAAAAAAAAAAGAAAGAGAATAATTTTTAATTTAATATTATAATTTAAAATCTAATTTTAGGTTTGAATTTAATTAAATTTATCAAAAGTTTTATTTTATAACTTTATTTTTTTCAAAAATTAGTTTAATTAAAATTTGATATTTTAAGCTTTATTTAAATAAAAGATATTTAGGTTAAGTGATTTAAATATTAAATAGTAACTTTTAAAGTTAATAAATTATATAAATTAGATTAAAATTTTATTAAAATACAAATAAATAAATAAATAAAGTGAAACCTTTAGAAATTACCTTTTTAGATTTAGATGCTATTTTTTAATCACTTATACCTTATATAATAAATATAGTATTTTATAATAGAAAGAAAAAAAAATTTAAAAAAATTTTTTTTTGAGTTAATATTGAATCTAAACTTGTTTTACTAAAAAAAAAATTATTATTTAACTTAAAAGTGAAAAATCTTTTTTTAGTAATTTAATAAAATTTAAACAGAAAATTTGCTTTTTATTAAATAACTTAATTTTTATGAATTTCTTATATAAATTTATAAATTTTTTAATTATTTTCTTAATTTTGTAATAATATATTAAAAGAATCTTAAATTCTTATTTTAGAAATATTTAAAATTATTTTATAAAAAAATAAATTTTAAAATTAATAAAATAATTTTTATTATAAAAATTTACATACTATTTTTAAAAACCATTTAAAAATTTTATACATTAAAAAAGCTAAATGAATTTTTTGATCTATTCATATAATAATATTTTTAATTTTACTTTAATTTTCATATTGAATTTCTTTTATAATTTTATATTTTCTATTAAAAGTAATAAATGTAAGAAGTAATTAAAAATATCTATTTATCAACAAATGACTTTGAATAAACTCTTGCAAAAAAGCCTTAAATAGATCTTAATTGAAATATTGTGATTAATTTATACAAATCACCTAGTAAGTTATAAAGTATGTCACGTGATTAGTTTTCTTGAATTAAAAAGAATCTTTTTCTGACAAATTTATTTTTTTTGAAATATAAAAATTCATTGTTTTATTTGATAATAACCATTTTTTATTTGCAAAATGATACTTCGAAATATATTATAAAAAAAAATACATTAAAGAATTTAAAATGAAATCAAATCCTAATTTCTTCGAAACGATATCGCGAAATATTTTTTCGAATTACACTATACAACTCACGAGCGAGTCGTTAAAATCTTATGAGCGAACTCTAAAGCTTTTGTCAAAAGACTAAATTATGCAGGTAAGATAATAAAATTATAAAATATACTTTTATTTTGTTATATACAAAGGAATATATAAACAAATAATGAATAAATTATTTTTTTTGAAAATATGTAATATGTATAATATGTAAGTGTATATATATATATATATCTACTGTATATGAGAAAGGAATCTAAGATTATATTAATGTTAATTAATTATTATTAATTATACTAAATTTATCACAAACTTCTTTTAAAAAATTATAATGAGCACTTAAAGTGATCACGGACTTGAATTCCACACAATCCAAACACCTCAAATGTAACCATTTAAATCTCTCGATGACCTCTTCTTCGCAAATCTCTTGACCCTCATCACTTTGATTCGTCAACACGCCAATACTCAATAATAATTTAGCCCAATAGTTATTTGAAATCCAATTTTCCATCAAGGAATTAAAAGAGATCACATAACAAATGATAAATTGTTCAAAACGAGAAGCATAAGTAAACGTATGTTCACAATTTATCCAAAGTAAGAATAAACGATAAGTGTTTAATAACATGTAAAGCTTTTGTGTGAGGGTAATTGTGGGAACCTCCAAAGAAATGATTAAATATACTTGATTATAAAACTTTTCAGAAAAATTAAATAATTTTAAAGCGGTTTTCGTAAGCGATGCTAATGTAATCTTATTTGTATTCGTTAAAGAATATAAAAATTTAGGAGAGGGATTATTTGATGAGAAATGTGATAATATCGAGTGTTCGAGTGATTGAGTGATTGAATCTAAATTGGTAAAATTATTTAAATAATTTCTTTCTTCAAAGGAAATTTCAAGGGAATTTAATTCAAAGATATCTAGATCATTATCATTTAACTTCCCCAACAACTTTTTTAAATACATCGCTCGTGTAATGATAGGGTCTAACACTTTAGGAAATGATAAACCAAAGTCACTAGTAATCTCTAATGAATTCTCAATATTCTCACATATTGATAACTCTTCATTTTCGCCAATATCTCGAAGCGCATATACCCCCAAATTCAATTCATTATTAATATAATTTTTAACTAGGAAGCAATTCGGATTTTTTGAAGTCTTGATAAAACAAAATAATTGTGATTGAGAGATGTTCAAGCCCGAACAAATGTTCAAATATAAATCTGATTTAGTCATGTTATCATCAAAGAAATGTTCACACGACTTTTTTGTAGTGCATGCGTGATGAAATATGTATTGATATTTTTGAAATTTGTGCGTTGAATTTAAGGTGAAATCATATTGTGCTATTAGCAAAACGTGCACATCGGAATTGTTAGATTTAACGTCTGATATAGGTTGAATTAATTTCTCATTAAAACATTCTTTCTTTTTCATTTGATGGCAAATGTAAGGAAATTTTTTCATAAACATCATTTGAATATTTGGAAAAGAAGAAGAAAAAAAAAATTTTTTTTTTTTCGAAAATCTTTTTGAGCTTGGGAAATTATTATTTTTTAAGTTAGTTTTTTTTAGGTTAAGATTTATTTAAAATAAATATTTATTCGATTTTATGTCATCCGGTTTTGTTTGGATCGTAATTTTTCCGCAGAAATTTAAATATTTGTGTCGAAACGATATTCATCTGGTACGGAGAACGTCGGTTAACCTAAATTTTGGGAAAAAAATTCATGTGAAAGTGACCGATATTACGAATTATATGAGCGTTCGATAAATAGGTCATCATCTTTAGTTGATACCATCCCGAAATCATTTCGTAAGATTCTATGAAGAAATTCAAATGTGCATTTTTTGCCCCTTCATTTTAATTTTCTGACTTTAATTTAACCTATTTGAGAAGAGCTTCGAACCCATCTTAATTGATCAACTCATTTCGATACTGGAAATGGTATAGATATTAAAAACAAAACTCCGTCCAGTCTCCGGTTACATACTTTTTTTGTGTATATGTTACGCGAATTGTATTGATTGGGGTCATTTGCACATCAAACGTATTTGTTTTGAGAGATATGATTCTTTCACAGCCACAAAAAAGATACCTAAACGGTTTTTAGCATAGTACCTCCCCATAGATTGGAGGTATCAAACACGAAAAGTATGCAATTGGTAAAATACCCGGGTATTGACTCAAGCGCGCACGGACATTTGTCTTGATTTAATTCGCTGTAAGACGATTATAAATTTGTGGTACATTGTATGTTTGTTATCGTCGGTTCGGTCAATTGCCCCATGAAGATAACATCCAATAAAAACCGCAAAAATCAATAGATGAATTAGATCATGATCTTGACTAACCAACATCTCTGTCATCTTTTCAACGTTCTGAGAAGCTAACTTACCATATTAAAACATTCCAACAAATTCATGACAAAAATGGAATATCATGATCATCAGAATCTGGTTTTCGTTATTGTCAAACAATATTACCTCACAATATTTTTCATCCATTTATGATAAGAATAATTAATAAAATTGAAGGATTTCATAATAAAATTGTTTCATTGATTTCTAGATTCTCTATTTTCTTCCCTTCCAATCCTTCTTTTTCTCACGTTCCTGATCCGGAATTTGCGGGTTTTACTTAATCCTAAATCACTCCATAAATATATTACCCGAGTGAAGATTACGGTGAATCATTCCCTCGCGCAATTTCGTACAATAACTTTAATTTTTCAAACTAATCGATATCATAGTAATTTTATCCAAGTAATTTCGTAGACTACCGTGTTCCACATGGTTCATTACATTACAAATTATTTGTAACTGGACCTCTTCTAACTTGATGACTGATGTAAATCCATCTAATAAAACAACGATTTTATATTGACAAGGTAACTTAGAATAGGTAAACAAGGATTTGTCTTACCACGTGCAAAAATTTGTTTTAAACTTTTAAAACCTGTTTATATTTTGTTTATCTATTTCCTTTTTTTCCTTATACCTTTTAAGTTTCGAATCCACGAAGTTATAAGACCATCTTTCCACTTGGCCTTTTGAAAGAATCCGAACCCTCTTGTATTCAATCCACTCCAAAATCCTTACACCAAAAGTTGCTTGAAATTGAATCAATATACTATATCATTATTTCCGCTAGTAACCAGTGGTAACGAATTGTTGTCTTTTGTCCGTATCAGAAATGTTGTGTGTTTATTCAAATTGTTTATAAAGGGCGCAACGATCGATCCAAAAGGATTTGATTTTTGTAGATGCGTGGTCTGATCCAGCCTTTAAAATTTTCCTGAGAATTTCAGAAAAAACGTTCATCACATGATTGATTTTATTTTACAAATATTTCTGTTCTTTTGTCAAGTAATGGTACCTAGGTGATAAATTCTTTTAATTATCGAATACATCTTCGCTGAGATAGTCCTGCTCCATGGTTAACGTTAATAGTTATTACAGGTTTGAAATTTAAAATGTAGAAGCTATTGACAAAAGTTTTTATTTTAAAACTAAGCTGAAAGGTAACTCCTATAATATATGCTTTAAAATCAAGATGTGAGTTAAAAAAAATAAATACGTGCGCGTCATGTATTTATATATTTTATTTATTTATTTATTTATTATACAACACAAGCAAAGGAAGAACTATGAGTTTTTAATCGAAACGCTTAAAGGACATTTGAGTTTCATTCATATACTTATTTTTAGTATAATTGTTTTATGTTTGAAACAGTGAAACGTATTGCATACGTCCTACGGTACTAGTGCGCTCCCCACTTTCCCCGGAATTATACAACAAAACAGGCACGGAGAGAATTTACATTTAGGGAGGTGCGTATTTATAGAGAACTTCAAAAGAAATAATACATGAAAGTTCTAAACTTCAAGAATCTTTGAAATGCTTTTTTTTTTTTAGAAGAGGAATCCTACTAACAGAAAACTGTAATAAAGAGTTATTTATTTTATTTCAATTCACAAGGTACAATTCATCTTGTCAAATTCTAAAAGTAATTTTGCATTTTGTGAAATTTACGAAGTTTACGGAAAATTTCACATAATTGCTTGTTGAATATGATGCAATATAATCATACATCATAAAAAAAAAAAGGTTTGGTAGCGCGATCAACTAAATTCATTAATGCAACCATAAAAAATCATGGTCTAAAAGTAAATAAATCATAAATTTAAGTTTAAGTTAAACTTTGAAAATAGGTAAAATTCCTGTAAATCTCGTGCGTCATGACGAATGATGGTATCTTTTTGAAATTTTTACATCCTCAAAAAAATTCAATTTCGCGCGTTTTTATAATTTTATTTAAAATATCCAAAAGAGTAACTATTTTTGTAGATCATTATATATTTGATGGTGTAAAATCAATCTTGAGACAACCTTACTATTACTTATCAGTAGAGATAAAGTAAGTCTAAATAAAGGAAACTTCCAAGGCGAACAAATAATTTTTTGCAAATGAATTCTACGATTCATCAATCATTACAATACCGCGAAATCATTTACATGTACAGTACATTTATGTATTTTCTAATGGGTTAATCTATTGATTTAACGACTTAACAGGTTAAGCAAAAGCGACACCAACAGAGTGTATTTTATTTCTTATAAAATGGCAATCTTAATTTTATTAATATTTTGCCTTAATTAATATTGATTTTTTATTCATTCGGGCCAAAAACTTAATATTTTGTCGCTCAAAGTTACTAATCAAATTAATTCACCATCATATTTTATACCGTTTTAATAATTTAGACATTTACAAATTTAGAATGGCACAAACGGGAATTTTTTTTTTTTTTTTTGTTTATTAAATGAAAAAATTTTATCATAAAAAAAAAAAAAAAAAAAAGAAACATCACGCTTTAAAGCTTCACATATAGAACCGCTCTAATCTTCTCTCTTGTTTTTGATAATAACTTAGGACTAATTAAATTCTTTGTAGAGATGATCAATCTGTTGCATGTAAATCCATCCCCCAAGCATTTGAGAATTTGTTTCAAATAATCATCGGTGAACCAATTGTTATTGGTAAACTCCAACGTGTGTAATTTCAATCCCCTACATTTTCTAAACTTGTTCATCAAAAAATTGGCCAAAGTATATTCGGAAAATATGAAATTTCCTCTAATGCCAAAATATTTTAATTTGACAAATTCCATTTCCGATAATTTATAAAAACACAACGCGATGTTATTTGCTTCAAATGAAACATCAGAATTGTCCAAAATAATTGATTGAATAACATCACTAGAATATGATAATAAAGTTATCAGGTAATTATTTTCAAAGGGTTGAAGACCGCACTTGAAATATTTGAGATTGGAGAAATTGGTAGATGCGAATTCGATCGGATTAAACATTGGGTTACCCGTGAATGACGTTTTCCCGATGTCCAGATATTCCAAGTTGGAAGAACAAATTTGTAATAAACATTGCAAGAATTGATGAGGGATATAAGAATTATTCAGATCAATCGTGTTGAGTTCTGGTAAATACAATTTTTCGCTAAAATAATCGACATCATCATAATGTTCATTGTTTTGAAATGTACAATTATATAATTGAAGTTTTTGAAGTGATAAAATACTCGTCACGTGAGAGAGAGCCTTCATATCGTCAAATTTAATTCCCATCAATTTTAATACCTTTAAACGTTTCGCCTGAGACTCTCGTAATTCTTTCATTAATAAATGAAAGTCCACAGGACAATGATGTAAAATGAGATGAGATAAATGTTGTTGATTATGAATTAATTCGACTAAATTTGCTACTTCGTTCTTTAAATTATTACGATCCCTTGATATACCATAATATTTAACGTTCGGATAATCAATATCTATTTCCAACTTAACAAGTTTATGAACATATTTTGATATGGTTAGAAAGAAATCCGCTTTATTCCTTTTCGTCGTACAAATTAATTCTCGGATATGTGATAAACAATCTCGCGCGTCGGGTTGTTTGGGGATGAAAAAGTAGATCTCGATCGCCTTATATTCCAGAATGTTTCTTCCACCTCCCTTGTACAATAAGGCGGTAGGATACCGTTGAATTTCGTTACACCGGTTGAATAAAGTTTTCTTATATATTTGAGTTATATCTAGTGAAATTCGTTGTAAATTTTTACACTTCCTCATGAAGAATTTTAATAGTACCTCCGATATTATTTGATATTCGGAATTGGTATTTTGTAATTTCTTAAATAAGGTTGGTCCATAAGATTTCGCCAGATATTTTATTGCCTCCCCATAATTTATCGGTGGGGGTGACGTACCATCCGTTGCAGCTTGCGATACCTGTCGATCTTTGTAGTTTTCGTGAAGCTTTAACGTTGAGCTATTTAAAAAATAAAATTCAATTATGGCTAAATCCATCTCATGAATGTCGATGTTTCGTAAATAACCAGCGTAATCAAACTTTAATTTTGGTAGTTGCCCTCGTTGAATAAAAGAACCTGCGATCAAACTCTGTTCGTTCTCCCGAAAGATGTTTAAAATGTACGTATCAATTAAGTTTATCGCCTGACGTTGATGATTTAAATAGGTGCAATTACAAGTGTTTTCATCCTCCTCTTGAGCGGCGCAAAAAAAAAGGAGTCGGAATGGTTGTCTCCAAAGAATGTCAATTGTTTGAGAACACCATGTTTGGTTTATCAACAAACAACGAAAAAGTGATGTCTTATCATCTCTCAACGACAAAATTATTTGTCGAATTATATCTGTGTTGAAATTTAATGGTAAAACCATGATGTATGTATAAAGGTTTTCTTTGAAGGAAGAAAGAAAAAAAATTTTTTTAAAAATTTTTGATAAAAAATGTACGACAGGAAATGATTTATAAAGTTAGATCGCCTGATGCAGAAACTTTTGTGGTGATCGAGATGTATATATATGACCTTTTTGAAATTATAACCCGACTGAAGCTCGTTTAATTTCGCATGATCAACTGAACTAATAACCATATTTCGAAATTACACGTTTATTTTATGCAAAGTTCACATGTGTTAAGTTCGAAATTGACATGTATGACGTATAATTGCGCGCTTTTATTGCATTATCAATTCATATCATCTTTAAAACTTCTAATTACAGCATCGTAAGAATATCATTTCATAACTTAATAATAGAATGTCTGTAAAAAAATACCATCAAAAAAAAAATTTTTTTTAAATCAGAAATTTATGTTTAATAAATTTTCTTCAATAGTTCAATGATTTTATCTCATTTAAAAAGTTGATGTCAAATGAGAAAACAACCTTTCTAATATCTGAATCATCTCATGGAATTTATACTTAAATATTTTTAATTCTTTCAAGTAGACTGGAAATATTATTTTTTCAATGATATATGAAGTTACTTTTAACAATAATTTACTTGCAAACTTTAGCATTTGTAAAATAAGGAAATCTTAATAAAGTTCATAGTGTAACAATTTTCAATACGAAAATAAGCAACCCCCGAAAATAAGCAACACCTGTTTTATATAGGTTCCGAAAATAAGCAACACTTCGGAAAAAATTGAAATTTTTTTTTTTTAATAAAATTTTTTTTGTAAATAAATAATTTAGCTTTATGTATATATTATAAATGCATTTTATTATTACAATTAAAAAAAAAATATTATGAAATTACAAAATATTAGTGTTCATTCTTTTTTATATTTAACTGAGTATGAATTTTGTGTTCGTTTCACAATTTTGACCTTACGTCTAATAGTTTTAACAACTCTCTTCCGTTTTGCCATTGCACAGAATAAAACAAGTTAATGAATGAAATTCGATCATCAAAAATCATATGATTTGATAGTTACGCGATCAAATTTTTTTCGTTTTATTAAACTACCCGAAAATAAGCAACACTAACAAAAAAGTGTTGCTTATTTTCGGAAGAATACGGGTATACCTTTTTTTTTAAAAAAAAAAATGTATAAATTGAACTTTATCAGGCAACTTATAATTACTTATTTCAAAATAGAATTTCACTGGAGCAGCAGTAATAAAGACATTAAAAACAAAGGTAAGTTCATTTTTTCCAATCTTAAATCAAATTTTTCTGATCTTGAGTTCTTAATTTTTATAAATTTGTGCTATGGTATAAAATTATTATTGGAGATGTACACATAAATTTTAAATTCAATTTATGTCCTTGTACCTTTTTTTTTTTTAAAAAAAAAAAAAAAAAAAAAAAAAGACCCTTTCAATCAATTCGATAACAAAATTTATCATAATACTGTATTTATATAATGTGATGGTATCCAGCATTTTGGATGGTCAAATATAAGCTTGTGAAAAATCTTTAATATTTTGTTTATAAATAAATGTCGAGATCCTTGTGGTAAATATGAATTAAAATGTTAAATATTTCAAAGAGATTTTCGTTGAATAATGGAATTATGATAAGTGACGAATTATACGAGACGGTTTTTGTTTAATTAATAAAATTTTAAATGAGTTTTGCTGTCTGTAATCAAATTCAAAGGTTAATTATTATTAAATGCATAGATAAAAAAAAAAAAATTTGCTAAAAACTTACCAAGGAAATCATACTCTGAAGAATATATCATGGTCATTGTTTCTGTTGTATCAGCTACGAGCTTTATATCCTCCTCATCAAGGTTCCCTAACCAATGTAATACTTTTAAATTGTCATGACACTTTGCGTATTCTACAACAACTTTCAAATATTCCTTCTCAATCATATATTTATCAATTATTCCCAAAGTATTTGGCCTTGCATTCATTTCATTTAAGAAATAATTTAATTGTTGTGAGGTAAGAGTGAAATTGATATAAAGGGATGTAACAGATGAAGGAATTGAATCGGTTAACTCCGTTAAAACTTCAGAAAAGTTATAACCAAAGATGTCAAGATATAGGTGATTAAGGGGTAAATTGTAAAGTAAGGAAGGTAAAAGTTTAGGGAAAGAAGCGTTAAACATCGCCAAAGATAAGCTCTGAATGTTTGGACAAAACCTTTCAATGATTTCTAACAAACCATCATCAACTCTATCGAGAACAAGTGTCCGTAATGATTTATTTATCATCTTGAGTAATAAACCCATATCATCGGCATCAAGAAAGGAAGGAATATTCCAACTATATAAATGTTTGATATTTAAGTTCATTATAACCTTATCAAAATTCTCAAGGTTCATGGTTTGACCAAAATGGCTTAAATCTAAAGTTTCCAAGTTATTGCAATCAATCAAAATGGATAGTAAAGGTTCGAAATTCTTTAATCCTCTTATATGTAGATATTTCAGAGAAAGGGATTGTGATTTAATCGCCTTAAAGATCGGCGAAGGTTTTTTGATATCCCAAAAATCATTTAACTCCAAGATTTCAATGCCTTGTTGTGATTCAATAAATTGTGAAATTAAAAGGGCTAATTGTGATTGTAAATGATTTTGCCTAGTATGAAAATTAATAGAAATTTTTAAATTACGTATATTCCTAGCGTATTGCTGTAACAAATCAAATAATTCTGATGACCCTCTTGCAAGAAAAACTTTTACATCTTTCCTAATCTCATAAGTAAAATTAAACGTGTGTAAATTTGACAATGAAAGCTTGTTTTGTACAAAGTAAGGCATTTTCAACCAATCATTATCATCGTCAAGATAAACGTTTAATACCCTTAAACCTTTTGTACGATTTAAAAATAAATTAATCAAGAGTCGAAAGAGAACATCAAATTTATCGTTAAATGCTTTTCTATCATCTTTGATTTCGTGAAAATTAAATAAAATCCATCGGTTGATGGCTTTTCTGAAATTGAAAATTTGAAAATGTTGTAAATGCCTTGGGTAATCAAATAATGGTTTATTCAATTCACAAGGATTAAGTTTAGCAAAAAGTTCTTGAATTTCTTGCTTTTCAAGGCATGCTATATACGTTTGAATAATCATTATGCACCTCCTTTCGGCTATTTTATAATCAAATGGGTGATGCCATAATATAGGAATTGTTTGATGGCACCATAATCTGTTAACCAATAAACACGAATGCAATGATGACTTTTCATTTTTCAAATTTTCCAACACTTCTAAAAGACAATCTACCGTCAAAGAAATCATTACAAAGACAGTCTTTATTAGAAACGTGAGTGAAACGGAAGGAAACGTTACCATTATTTATATTGCTGATTGCAAGTGCGTTAGTATTACGATCAGATGACCCAACGATAATCTTTTCCATTCACATGAAAACCATTTAATTGGTAATTTACCAATTCGTTGATTTTTTATTAAGAAATAGTACCATAAAAAGTAATATTGCCGCGAACAAGAGAACAAGCAATGAAATATACTTATACGTATATCCTTTATTAATATATCCTAAATCGCATAAGTTATGATATGCGAGTCAATTTTTCAATTAACATTTGATTCAACGTTTTTGAAAAGGAACTTGTCAATTGTAAGGATATATGAAAACACATGACTCTACGTAAAACTTTCATCTCATTCGTAGAAAGTTTTAATTTTTCATAGTCACTGCAGAACACTTTGTATAGAAATTTCATTGCCAAATAATTTTTTTTTTTTTTTTTTTTAAAAAAAAAAAAACACCTCCCCCATCATTGCTTATCTTGTTTCATCTCTACTCAAATCATTTCTTGAAAAATTGAATAATGGAAACGGAGAAAAAAAAAATTAAAAATAAAAAATAAAGACTAAGCCAAAATTTTGGGTGACGTAGTAATTTCACGTCGATCTGCCTAAATTCGTATTAACCTCAGCCGAAAGGATGACCGTATCACATAAAAGATCAAGTGAAAAGTCGATTCGTTTTTTTATAAATTCGTGGGAATACAAAAGAACTTAATAAAAAATCTATGGTCCATTGATAATTTTTTTTTGACTCGTCCATTTGATTTATAAATCGATCTCCTCTTTAAATTTTTTTTTGAAAAATTAGAATGGATTCTAATGATAAAACCATCATGAATACTCAAGATTTAAATAATGCTATTCGTGTCGAACTTCATCGACAAAATACTGTTGTCAAACAGCTTTCTAAAGATTCGGGAATTGAAGAACACGTTATTCGGGTAGATCATTTTGACTTGAAAACACTTCACTTTATGCATCTATTATGCTAAATTTTCTCTACTTTCCCTTTCTATATACATATACATAAATGATTTATATCATAGAATATGATGAAGGAGAAAAGACCAATTGTTAAAAAGAAGAGAAATCTTACCGCGTTCAACACGTTTGTTGAAGTTCAAAATAGAAAATCACAAGGAAAAGGTTATTGAGAATATTGGACTATTTTAAGAAAAAAAAATTTATCACGGAGCATTTTTTACATGTAATTCGAATCTTTTTTTTTTTTTCTTGGCATTAGATAAAGATTATCAAGTGATTTGGGACTCTTTGGATTCGGAACAAAAGTTGTCATATCAAGTAATAGCCAATCAACATAACCTTGAACATCGTTATTCTGAAGTTAAATATATCAGTAACCCAGAAGAACGGTTAAATACTTTAAAAGATGGTTTAAGAGAATTAAAACATCAGGTATATGTGTAAACATAAACATTAACCTTTAAGATAAATATTTATTTTTTTTTTTTTACGATTCGTTATTGATGTAGTGTTGTCGATTAAATCAAGAGTGTGGTTGGGATTTCTTGGTCATCACTATTGAACCAGAAGATTTGCCAGAAACTTCCTTTGGGTTTGGAAGCCTTCTAGCAGATGATTTTTGTATTGAACAACCTGAAGAAGTTTTACGAATCAGTAAAAAATTATATCATTATGGCGAATCTACAAGGAACTTGCGTACGTTATTGTATATATATGTAGATGATGTTTCAATATTTTAACTTTTTTATTTTAGGAATAAAATTTTGTTTTTTATCTTATTTTATTCTTTAGAAAATGAAACCGGACAAGTAGACTTAAGAAATGATCGATTCGAGTCCCTAATAGATCAAACACTATCATCGAATTATCAATTGCCATCTACAAATGAAAGAGCAATAAGGGATATTAGCGAAGATAATGAAAGTGAGTCATCTACTTCTTTGACCGAAAGTAATTTTACGAATTTTGGAGGAATAAATGAAGCAGCAATTGAAACTGATTACGAATCTGATGATGATAAGACTGTTTGTGATGATGAACGAGATTTAATTAAACAAGATCCTTTATATGAATTACTTGGCCAAGATTATATGACTGTTCAACTCGATAATCGATTAAAATCTGCTGTTAGAAAATTCTTGAGAGCAAGGTTCTGTAAGTATCTCCCAATTACCTTAAAAAAAAAAATCGACCTTTTTTTTTTCGTTTATTTAACTTATAAATAAATTGTTGTAGATTCAGATACTGGAAAAATTACAAATATCCCTTATAAAGATTGGGAAAATCAAACAAAATATTCCGTAACCGGATGGCCCAAACATATAAAATTTGATGATTGGGGAAGAATCAAAGAAAAAAGAGAAGTATATCGTCATTTACTTGATATTCATTTTCATGTTAACGAGGAAGCACCAGAATATAAAAGATTTAGATCTTCTAATAAGAAAAAAAGAAGATTAGCATAATTTATTTATATATAGTAAATTTTCTTTGAAATTCTTTCGAATCAAAAAAAAAAAAGTTTATTTTTTTTTTTTATATATATATATATATATTTTTTTTAAAAGAATGTATGTAAATGAGTACATTACAAATAAATAAAATGAAAATATGAAATTTCTTCCACATGATTTGAGGTATAAAGTTCGGCCTTAACCCATTAAGTACTTTAACTATCGACTGGGGCGTTCAAAAACCGTATCAAATTTTTGCTTATTAATACAGTTGCCCAATAATTGCTTAGTATTGCTCATTGTAATATCGTTATCAT